AAAATCTAAAATTTAAATAAGAAAAATTTAAGAAACTATTAAAGAAAACTTTTACTTTTTAGACTTAAGATATTTCTTTAATCTAAGTAAAGATAAAAATTAGCTAAAAACTCTTCTAAGAAAGAGATAAAAGATCTAGAAATCTTTTTTATAATTTAATTTATAAAATATCTTTATTCTCTATATCTAGTATATTTTATACTAGATAATATAGAGATAGCTATCTAAGATTAATTTAGAGTAGTATTAAAGAAAAACTAATTTTAGAGACTAATAGTTCTAAGAAGATAGAGAAAAAGAAAAAAAAGAATAGAGATATAGATAAGGAAGATAGGTATAAGGATAAGAATAATAATAAAGTTTACTCTTTTTCTATTAAAGTTTATATTCTTTAGGTATAGAAAACTATTATACTAGTAAAAATTATTTAAAAATATGATAAGAAAAAAGAAAAAGTTTAAAAATTATAAAGACTAAGTTATAACTAAAAAGAAAAAGATTACTACTTAGACTAAAATTTTAATAAAACTAAAACTTATTTAAAAAAGTCGTATTATAATATTTTATTCTTAAAAATCTATATATAATTTTTATTAAAAATATTTTAACTATAATATTAGTCTATAAAAGATTAGTAAAATACTTAATATTAATTATATTTTTAATTAAGATACTTTAATATACTATATTTATTATAGTAATTTAAAGAAAAATTATATATATTAGACTATAAGTAATTCTTTTAGTAGTAATTTAACTACTAATTAACTTAGGTTTCTAGATTAATATATAGAGATATCTAAATTTTTATTAAGATACTCTATTAGACTAAAAGAATTATTATAATAGAGAGATCTATATTTATTAGAATTATAGATAGTAGTATAATAGTTATAACTACTTTTTCTATTACTAATATCTTTTAAGATACTTATAATATCTAGATTATTTAGAATTTTACTATTTAATTAGTTATAATTTAAGGTTTCTATTTCTTAAGAAAATTATTCTCTTATATTCTTAGTTAGTATAATAGTTAGTATAGTCTTATATAAGAAGAGAGTTAATACTAAGACTAAAATTACTTATTTAAACGTAATTTTTAAATAAAAAAAGATTAATATTACTTTAGTAGTAACTTTGTATATTAATTAAAAGAATAATAGACTCTTAGCTATAATTAGTACTAGTATCTATAATCTTATAGATATATATACTTAGAATTAGTAGAATTTAGTATTATTTTATATTCTATAGATTTTAATAGTATGATTTATTTATTCTAAAGTTGTTTTTTTTAATATTAAATATTCTACTTAGCTATATATATTAAATTAAATATAAATAATATAAATAGAAGTAAATAATAATAACTTAGTTATACTTTCTTTATAAATATAATTTAAAGATTATCTATTATTTACTATTTTATTAATATATTAGTTTTTTCTTTCTTTATCTCTCTATTTTTTTAACTTTACTTTTTTATCTTTACTACTCTTCAATAATACTAGTCTTTACTTATTAAACTTAATATACTTACTATAAGTAAAGTTACTTATCTATAACTATAGTTAGTTCTATTTAAGAATAATTTATAAGTAAGACTATTCTAGATAGTTTAAGTAGAATAGAATCTATTTTTACTTCTAAGACTTAGTGGGTCTTAATAGGCCTAGGGAAAGTTGGGAATAGCTTCAAATACTACTAATTAGGTAGTAGTTATGTAAGATTGGTGGTTAAGAATGATATTAAGAATGATTGAAGATGATGATTGTTATAATTTGTGTATAGGGGGGAGAAGGTTGTATATATATTAGCTGGCTTAGGCAATATTACTAAGTCTTGGTATTATTAAGCATTAGGCCCTAGTACTGGGAGCACTAGTATAGTAGCACTGGCATAGTAGCAGTAGTACCGGCACAGTAACCCCCGGGGCACTGGCACAGTTACACCCGGAGCACTGGCATAGTTACACCCGGAGCACTGGCACTGTAACCCCCAGGGCACTGGTATAGTTACACCCGGAGCACTGGCACTGTAAACCCCGGGGCACTGGTATAGTTATACCCGGAGCACTGGCACTGTAACCCCTGGGGCACTGGTATAGTTAGATAAGCTCCCGCACTCTAAGGCTTGTATAGCCTAGGTAGCGGTAATATTTGTAATATTCATAAAAATTATAGTATCTATAGATAAAGTAATATCTAGTAAGAAATAAAGTATAGTTTATTAAAATCTTTACTAATTCAATAATAAATCTAGACTAAAATATTAATAGACTTTATTACTAGGTGTCTACTAGCTAATAGAATAGATATAATAAACTATCTAGTTATTACTTCTGAATATATCTAGTTAAAGAATCCAACTATGACTTAGTTAAAGATATAACTAAGATATAGTTAAGAGTTTAACTAAAAAATATATTCTAAATATAAGGATAATTATACCTATTTAGGTTAATATATCGAGAACCCCAAGGTTGCCTAAACCTATACAAAATAGGATCTAAGGTCGCCTAAACTTACTCTCCAAATAAGAGAGGTATTAATAGCAAAAGAATATAGTACTATTATAAAGAAGCTATTGGATATATATAGGGCCTATACCCTCCAGACAAATCTAGGAGAATCATCATCTTTAATTATTCTGAAGACCATCCTTATTGATTACTTAGTCAATCATCAAATCTTTCCACCTATTACCTAATAGGTATTTCTTGAAGCTATTCAGACCTCCTCTATAGCTTATAGGACCCTAGGTCTTATATTACTAATAGACTAATAAAGAGTATAATCCTAGTTAGTATAAAGTTAATTATAGCTAATATACTAGTTAATAATTTCTTAATTTATTTTTATATATACTATAGTTTATCGATAGGTATTATAAGTAATTAAGAGACCTAATTTATAAGTAAATTCTAGAGTATTATCTATAAAAGACTTTAGATTTAGAGATATCTATCTACTACTTTCTACCTATAATCTAATAGATCTATAAAGAGAGTAAACTAGGAAATTAAACAGATTCTAAGAGTATTTAGTTACTTCTCTTAAAAAAACTAGATAAAATTACTTCTAGTAACTATAATAATAATTAATAATAGGGAGACTATATCAACTAGCCTATCTCTATTCTTCTTTATATATAGATACTATATTAATCTAGTTAATAGTAAAAATAAGACTACTAATAGAGAACTATCTAGTCCTAGAAAAATAGATAATTTACTAATAAATCAACTCTGATATACTACTAAATACGTCTAGGTATTAATAGTATTTATATAAGATTAATAATAGAAATAAGTAAATTAGATAAGCTAAGCTATACTAGTCTATAAAGAAGGGAATAAGGTCTAGCTTAACCTACAAAATATAAAGTCTTTATATCTACATAAGAAACTAGATTAGCTTTACATAAAGTATACAGTAATAGAGACCCCTACTTCATATACTATACAGCTTAATATACTAATAGGTATTTATCTAGTATTCTATATAGAATTAATTCGTCCTATATCAACGAACCCACTTCTATTACAATTTATAGATAATTCGTAACTGCCTTTGTTAGTTATCGATAGAGAACTAGAGTATCAGATCACTAAGATTCTAGCTATATATATAAAGAAGATTGGATGGGGTTCAAGAAGGGAGATTTTAGTTTGTTAGACTAGGTATATAGAGTGTATATAGGAACTATTATCGTCGGTTGGAGAGTGTACGGCACTGGATATATTTAAGGAGCAGCACGGCAGCGTTTCGGCCACAAATCAACCACTCCCGCCCAAGGGAACAGCACAAGTTGGACGTCTATACGTCAGATCTGAGGAGGGGAGTACTGTAACAGGCCAGGTCCCGATATATGGCTCAGGCTTGGCCTGTGCGATGTGATCTATCAGTTCCCCAGGATACTTAGTTGCCGCCGGTCGCCCCCTTTTCTCTTACACTTCTCCAAGCTTTAGATAAACAGCATACAGGTACCGCTCAATTGAATCAATTTGGCTGTAGCCCTTCACAATCTGCTATATAATAGGCTAGACTTCGGCAATGGGTCCAAATGGGTCCAACTTTTGGACCCATACCCAACCCATGATGGGTTATGGGTTTTTTCAAAATGGTGCACCCATCCCGATGGGTACCCATGGGTTTTTCATGGGTACCCATATGGGTACAAAAAACCCATATTGTGCATAAATTTGAGGCTTGGCATGGATAATTCAGCTGACTGATCATTGTAATTTTGATATTCATGACTTCATGGCTGTATAGTTACAGTCTCTTCTCAAAATACATTTTTTAAAATCAGCAGAAGAATCTTTGAATCAAATTATTTATTTTTTTCAGATCAAATTGTTAAATTTAGGTAGCAGTGGTTCTATTTTTGTAGTATGTAATGTTTTGGCTGTTTTGACGCTTAACCTTGGAAGAACATGGAGATATATATCTCTAGGAAGGTAATACATACTCCAATATAACAGGGATCAAAAATGCTTTTCACTTCAAGAACTACCAAAATCTAGAGCACTAATAAATACTCATAGAGAATAAAGTCTACTAGTATTTATTTATTCATTTTTACTATAGATACCCAGGTAATAGAGAGCTTTTAGAGACAAAGAGTCTATCTTATAGGTGGGATGGTTTTTCGCCCAAAAACTGCCCATGGTCAAAATCTTTTTCGACCCAAAAAGTGGGAAATGGGTTGGGAATGGGTATTAAATGGGTTTCTGATGGGTATTATGGGTTTCCGATGGGTTTTTGATGGGCTTTCGATATATCACATGGGCTTGATGGGTTGGTGATGGGTTTCAGTGGATCAGATCTGTGCCCATAGCCAATAAAATATCATTTCCCTATATTGCTTTTACTTATCCCCTTTTCCAGCTGGATTTAGAAGAATCTGTCTGTTCAGTCAATCTCTTTGCTAAAGGTATGTTCTCTCCTAATATGTCTCGCTTTCTCTACAGCTATTTTTCAGTTGGTGTCAATATGTCCCAAGGCCAAAGCCAGGAGTCTGACTTTCTGCCCTCTCTTTATGAGGGGGACACAGGTCAGTTAACTGATTTTACTCCTTCAAATCCTCTTATTACGCCGACAAACAGTATTCTTGGTTCTTGTCCAATTGAAGGTAGTGAGCCTGATTTTCTCCGACCGAGCAATCTTCCTCCCCCTGACTTATTTACTCGTGTTGGCCCCGATCGGAGAAAGGCATTTGTACTTTACAACAGCATGACTCACACAGATTGGGTTGATTGGTGGCTCCAGACAGACTTTGGACAGAAAAGCAATCTCAAATGGGATACAAATCGCAATTCAGATATCTGGAGTCACTTTGATCAGGTTGCCGCTTGTAAAGATGGGGCACCAAAGGTTATGTGTAAAAACTGTGCCCGGATCTTAGAGCATCCTGCATCAATTTTACCAAATGGCAGAAGTCTATATGGTACATCAACTCTGTTAAAGCATCTCAAAACAGCAGCTTGCCAAAAGGTCAAGGCCAACAGAAAAGAGGATATCTCTCAGTTCCTAATATCAGAAGTATGTTCTCTATTTACTATTATTTATCTTATATTAACTATTTTAGGGCCAAACAGCTACTCAGTCATTCTCACAAACTACATGGGAGACACAGCTATTGCAGTTTCTCACCTTAAATCGCCTACCATTCCATCTTATTGAACATCCAACCTTCCACACCCTTATCCGATCTGCACGCTTAGCACCTTCTCCTCCGATGATACCTTCTGCAACAACGATTCGGCGACGATTACGAGATATTATCCAAGATAAACAACGCTCTACTCTCAAAACCCTTCCTCCTGAGTCAAAAATATCGATTGCACTAGATTGTTGGACTTCTCCCTATAACCAGGCTTTTATGGCAATCACTGGTTATTTTGTTAATGCCAACTGGGTATATCAAGAGGTTCTTCTTGGATTTAAGCCATTATATGGCTCACATACTGGTGCAAATCTAAGCGCAGTTCTCCTTGAGACCTTGACCCATCACAACATCCAAAATCGAGTCTTTGGAATTACAACAGACAATGCGACAAACAACAAAACTTTGGTGGATACAATTCAGCAAGCACTCTCTAGTGAGACCACTGTTATCCGAATCCCTTGTCTTGCCCATGTCATCCAGCTCTGTCTGAATCAGCTTCTTGATCGTCTTAAAGCTGTACCCCAAAATGATGCCGCTGAGACAAAATGGACCGATCGGCAATCGTCTGCAGCAAAGGCAAATGCAAAACAACAGAAACATGAGATTTCAGGCACATTGAACAAGGTCCGCTATCTTGCAATTTACATCCATGCCAGTCCTCAACGGCGAGAGACCTTTCTCCAGCTTCAGCCTAAAGAACCTAGGCTAGTGCCTATTCAAGATGTCCGAACTCGATGGAACTCAACCTTTTTGATGCTTCGACGTGCCAAACGACTACGCAGCTACTTTATATCATTCTGTGAGCAGTATGATTGTAAAGAGATGTTGCTTAATAATGAGGAGTGGCGTCAGATTGATTATCTTCTCTGTATTACAGAGCCTTTCTTTGACTACACTACTGAGCTGTCAAAGACAAAGGAGGTTACTACACATCTGGTTTTCAAGCTCTACAATGCACTCTTTGAGCATCTTGAGAAGTCAATAGGTCAGCTAAAGAAGAAGCGGATTCCATGGAAAAAGCAGATGCTCCAATCACTTGAAGCTGGCCGACAGAGGCTTGGTGGCTACTATTCGCAAACAGATGGTGTGAAAGGACATATCTTTGCGATTTGTACTATGGTTGCACCAGATAGCAAATTCCAGTTCTTTCAAACTGATGACTGGGAGCAACAGTGGCGTGTTGCATATCGCAAATCATTCCAGTCAGCACTGCTTCCATATCAGCAACGTCTTGCCAGAGATCAAGCCTCACCTACACCCCAGGCATCATCAAGACCTACATCAAAACTCAACAAGATGCTCAGTGGGAGCAAGACTATAGCAAAACCTGTTGGAGATGAGGCTGCTCAGTATCTTGATAGTGGTCAGTCTTGTTCTTTAACTCTTTCATAAAGAGTCTTTATCTTTAATATTCTATACTAATTTATTTCTAGACCCAGTCGAAGATGAACCACTTCATTTTTGGCGTGAGAACCAGTCTCGGTTTCCCGCAACTGCATTGCTTGCTCGAGATTTTCTTTCAATCCCTGCAACTGGTGCTGGTGTTGAGCGGCTTTTTAACACCGCGCGTGATGTCTGCCATTACCGACGCGGCCGTTTAAAGTCTGAGACTATTGAAGAAATCATGCTATTCCTGTGTGCATCAAGATTCGATCTCCAGGAGGCAGAGATGAAGCAGCTTGAGAAGTATTTTACGTTGGATGAGATTGAGATGTCAAAGGAACAGAATGATGAGAATCTCCAGGATGTTGAGATAGTTTCGATTAGTGATAATGAGGAGGAGGAGGAGGAGGAGGAGGAGGAGGAGGAGGAGGATATTGTTGTAGCTTCTACTACTGAATTAATAGATCTTGGTGTTGAGGGTCAAGATCCTCAGCAGCCTCTATTACCAGAGAATGGGACTCAGCTACGGATGTCTACAAGGAAGCGTAAACACAGAGAGGACAATAATTTTGAGCAGTACTAGAATTTGAATAATAGAATTAATTTGAATCAATTATCATCATCATGTAGGTTCTTTTACATGTGACTAGAATACCTAAAATTACAGCTAAATTTGCATTAATTATGCAATCACGAGATTTTTCGTAGTTTGCCCTGTTTACAGCAATATGGGTACCCATATGGGTACCCATGATGGGTTATGGGTTTTGAGCTCCGACCCATAACCCATCATGGGTCGGAGATTTGGACCCAAAACCTAACCCATCGATGGGTTGGGTATGGGTACCCATGGGTACCCGTGGGTCGTGCCGAAGTCTACTAATTAGAGTTAACTTATATAACTACTATAGAGAACAGTAACTTCTAAGATTTAAACTAGTAACGGTAGAGATATCAACTTAGAACTTATAAAATTTTCAGAGTAATCGTACGATAGAAGCTCTGCGCAGTCAGGTCCTGAAATACATGAGCAGTGAGGGTGGTGGGGCGAATTCTGCCCATACTTAAGAAACCCTCACTGCTCGGCAGTGAGGCCCGCTGCTCCAGGTCCCTTGGGTTAGGCGCAAGCCTGTTTATAGTGCCAGTATAAGAGACAGAAGGGTAAAAGAGGTCAACATGCACCACGGTCAAGATCTGGTTGTAGCGAGTGTGGTAATATAGCACTATGTGTAAAAGGGCCATGTTGGGATGAATTCCACAATAGTCCTAATTAATTACACTGAATCTGATTACTGAGATATTACAGCGGCCAGCCAATAACACACGTTAGTATAATACGCTAGTAAATTGCGCTGATTGTGCTTCCTGGGTTGAACGAGGGGATAGTTTCGCTTCTCGGGAACGGTCCCTTGGTTTTCCAATTACATTGTCACGCACTCCCAGCCTCGCTCCACTTCGTTTAATTAAAGACATGTGCGGGTAACGCCATCTGAGTCAGGGTACAAACACTCTAGCAACAGAGCCAAACCACGCTAAACCATCTTTGTCTGGGTTTGGGACTCCGCCTCGTTCAACCTTTGATTTCATTTATTCATACCATTACAGGGCCAACCGTATCATAGTAACAGGATTACACTGTATAAAAAACTAGCAGACCAAGTCTGAAAAGACCCGAGCCGACTAAGTCAATGGAAAGGAGTAATCAAAGATAACTCTACGCGACCAATAACATGACATGAATGATGCGCTCATAGCCGGTATACTCCGCTAGCTGGAAATACGGCCTGGAGTGCTGGATTATATAAGACTAGTCGGGTGCATACATTCGAGTTTAATTGTGCTTGTCGCGTTGAGAGCCCCTTCACGCCAGACAACCTCCAGGCTATCCATCCCTTCGTTTCCGCATCATAGCCAAAATGCGTCTCGCTGCTGCTGCTGTCGTGCTCGGCGCCGGTGCCATCACCAGCGCCCAACTATCCAATATCCCACAATGCTCTGTGAGGCCTGTCCGCTCAATGCCCCGACTCCGTATCTCGTTTCAAAACTAACCCGTGCTCTCTTCTCCTTCCTCTCGCAGCTTAACTGTCTCACTTCGGCTCTCGCCGTGGACGGCTGCTCTGAGCTGACGGATTTCGCATGCCATTGTCAAAAGACGGGCCTCGTGGAACAGGTTGTGCCCTGCGTCAAACAAACTTGTGATGTCACGGACCAACAAGGTATGAGAAGCCACATTCTCTTCAGTATGATTCGCTCTAACCATGCGCTTTAGCCGTTTCCAATGTCGTCGTGTCTTTGTGCTCTGGTGCTGGCCACCCAATCTCTGTCCCGCCGGTCGACTCATCGGCTCCCACATCAACTGCTGCGGGAAGTGTTCCGACCACATCGAGCAGCTCCAATTCAACCACGGTCAGTGGCTTGGGCAGAAGCTCTCAGACTTTGCCTGCGGACTCCATGACCTCGACTATGGGTTCCACGACTTCGTCCACGGTCAACACTGCTTCGCCTTCGACGACCTCCCAATTCAACGGGGCCTCTGGTATTGGATCCGGAGCTGCTCAGGTGGCTGGTACTGCCATCCTGCTAGCTAGCCTGATGTTCTTAGTCTAAAGAATGGCGTGGAGAAAGACCCGGGGTTTCTTTCGACTGTTGTCTGATATACATAATTTGACGCTGGTGGCTTTTTGCTACCAAGGTATCTCAAGCTACACTCATTTAATATATCTCCTATTCTAGAAAACATTGCACAATTACGACACTGTACAAAACCTGACTGCAGGGTGCATTTCTTCATTAATTGTCTGCCTCAACCTAGACCCTAGAGCCTTCTCAAATTCGATTGTTATAGTCCATGGAAAGAATAACGACGAACGGAGTCCTCAGAAGAGGAACGCAGTATGACACGAAGGAAAATCATTCCTATGGTCAAAATATTTGAACTAACTTGTTCACATGTATATGAATGCACGAAGTCTCATTGAAATGGCGACATGGCGGTTCGAAGCAAGGCACTCTCTAGCAACATTGCCTATATAAATATGCACACCTCTAAAAGCTGGTTATGCGGAAAACAAAAGTCCCATCGTAATATAGGACAATAGAATTGTAATATTGGATGCAACATCGGCAACGGCAATCTAACTGAAAATAGAAAAGAAATTAAATACGTCCTTGGTTCTGAGTCTTTAGATTATTATTCATGACGCGTGTGAGGAAACAACTTACACGGGATTTAACTTCGTTCCGACTCTGTAAGGAACGAGTCCCAAGACAGCAAGAAGAACGGTGCCATAACTAAGGGGAGAAATACTAGAGCGAAGAAACTTTGTCTGAATCCTTAAGTCTGTCGGTCAGTTCTCCTCGGACCTCGTCATTGTGCCCCTAGCTCATTTTCCGCAAAAGCTCGCCTAATGCCCGATTCAGGCGATAGCAGATACCAAACCGTGCACGATCCTTCCCCAAATTCGTAGCGATGCATGATATTGCCCGCATTGACCAACTCCTGTCATAATTACCCCGTGGAGACCAAAGGTGGCCAGGTGCATTAAAGCATCCATCGATCGGATATCTAACCTAATCGAGATTGACAGCCGGAGAGACGTTCTGGCAGTGAGGTGTGAGTTTGATAGTTTCCATTGGCCAATCGATGCATACTCCCAACGCAGAAGATCAGGGTCATTGGCTTGAGGACCATATTCCCCACACCACGCTGGCACTAACTACTTTGAGTTTCGGGCACATGCTCAAAGTTACTCAAAGTTAATGGGGCACTCTCCATGTAAGGGGACTCACCTCGGTCGATCAATGTCTTAGACAAAATGGTGGCAAAAAACATGTGAAGGACGCATAACGCTTGGGAACTGGTCAACGTTTTTTCATGTCAAATAAACCAATCCTGTGGGAGGGCACGCTACACAGCGCCGCCCAAGCCACCCAGCCCACTGACCAAGTTCTAGGCGAACAAACAGAGAGAAAGATAGGAAGACAGTACGAGAAATGGAGACTGAAAAGTATTTTGGACTGCTACTGACTCTGAAAGGGATCTTGGTTATCTTTCTCCTTTTGTTCGTTCTGTAATTTCCGTGTATCGATAGTGGATTGTTCGATGCTGGATTAGATCCCCAATATTCAAGCACATGTATGTATTATTCATCGTAACAAGATCGCATTCATCCTCAAGATAATTGAAAAACGGGACATGCAAGCCACTAGATCTCCTAATAAAAAATTAAATCAAAGTCCTGCACACATACTCAGCTCTGCTAAGAGGTCTCTTGCGGTAACGTCGATACCGCCAGCGGCCGAGTCCTCCCTGCCAAATGCCAGGAACAGCGTGTCATCAATAAACCCATGATACTTCTGGCCTTGGCTTTTCCAGCTGATGCTGGTCACGTAGAGCATCTCGGAATCTTCCGAGAACAATGTTGAAGAAGATATATCTGACTGTTCAGCGGCAGTTTTGCGACCAAAAATCCAAATTGGTTTTGACGAGACCGCATAAATCTCGTATGGCATTGAACGCCGAGCAAGCACGACATATGGCTCATATACGGGGTGAAGACCGTGTAAGGTCTTTTGTTGAATGATGAAAAGCACAAAGGCATTGGTCATATCGGGTTGGCAAGATTGGTCAGATCGTGCACATAGAGTGATAGCTAGCGAGTTTGTTGCTTGATGAATGCTCTCCGTTAGGCTTGTACTCTCAGGCAAGAATCTCTCGAGACACGCTTGGTCAGAAGTCGCGGTCGCCAGAGCCAAGTTGGGCCCAACGGAGCCATCTAGCTCGAGTTTAGCAAACACTCGCACCGGTACAATATCATGGTGTACGAACATTTGTCCAAAGTCGTCCCAGAAAAGGAACCAATTCTTTTCAACAGCATTCCATGGCATTGGACGTTGGAGCTCACGATACTGGAGGAACTCGTGTTCATGTATCGTGTCTATGCCCCAGTCCACCAAGATTCGAAAATCGGAGAGCCATTGTCCAAAGCACGAAAAGAAAGAATTGGAGCCATATATGGTGTACGGAATTTCGGGCCCGTAGAATACCCTCGCATCATGAGGCCCAACGCTGAGACTAAAGTATGAAAGGTCGCCGACGCACTTGCTGGCGTCACCAAACGTCGCTGGTATGGGCAATTGCAGTGGTGGTTCCAGACAGCTCAGAACTCGCTTATCCTCCGAGAACGCCGCATTGCAGACGAGTTCAGCATACCAGACTGATGCCTTTCGAGCCGAAGGAGGGATTTGAAGTTGTGCAGTGATGATCCAGGTGTCAAGCAATTCAGGATGGGGTATGATACTGGGATTCATCACGGATCTTCTCCCAAAATCGATCTTAAAATACTTCCGGTCGGGACTCGATACTGAATATAATATATGGTGCATTTGAGACATTTCTTTTTCGAATTCAGGACGTCTTCCGTCCTCGTCTGCGGGTTGTCCATCCTGACAGTGAGACCACGTTTCGATGCCGGGAACGCCTGAGCAAGCTGTCTCAGATTGCCCATATGGACCATCCGTGGAGTGATACGTGGACAAAAAATTCGTTTGCAAGTAGAGATGGTTGGATTGAAGTTTAGCGACGAGGATCACCGCAGACAATAGCCCTGCAATAAGCATCAGGCGTGTAGGTGTTTTTTTAGCCATGTTCAGTCCGGCGTGTGTAGAGCAGGGCATCGGGATGTAACAGTAACAGGTAATAAGCCATATTTCAGAAAATGAGCTGCCGAGATTGGTCACTAACATATTGACCAGAAAAGGGGGACCCGACGAACGCGGGTAGTGGCTGAATTGAGGGGTGTTTGCCACTAGTCATCGACGGGGTGTAGCGTGGCCAATTCCGCAACTCTTAATTTCTGTGTATGGTAATCGGTGTAACCTCGGAGCTACAGGGATTCTCTCTCCCGGACTTCACACCTATTTATGGTCTTTTTGTCTACCCTGGCTTATACTGCCCCCACTGCTCCTATGTATCACAAAAATTAGCAACAATGTGTGGCCATCTAGCAAACATACATCCAGAAACTAGGTAACTATATAGCTGTACTTACAAAGCTAAGTCAGATATTACTGCCACTTTAGTACAGATAAGCCATTAGCATTTCTTTGTATTAGGCCTAGGGAGCAGGTTCTTTAGTATAATTACACTATCTCTAACCAGACAACAACTACTAGCTAGTACAGTATCCAAGGGTAAGTTCATTTAGGCCTAGGTCCACCAAAATCTCCAGGGAAGGTTAGTAAACAAGACAGAAAAAGGGCTATAGATTACTACCCAGGAGTATATTACCAAAGACTAACTTTGGCTAGAATCCAGTAGCCAAAATGCCTTCAAAATGACAGATTTTCCAAATTAGCAGGTCTGGGCATACTTTCTGGTTCTTCTATGCCATGGGACCTGGTGCATCTACCTAACTGCATAGCGGTCTGGGCCCTTATATATAGGGAGTATTTTGACCCACCACCTAGAGTGCACTAACTTTTTTCTTCTTAGACTACAAGCACTTTAATATCACACTCTACGCATCTTCTGATTGTAGCGTGTAGTGTATATGGAGCCCGGTTCCATAACAGTCCAGTTCAATTGGCACGTCCACTTGCAGTCTAGGTAGCTATGATGAAGGCCAAGACGGACTGTCGGGAGATGCACCAAAAGTTGCTTCGCGCAGACTACGGTACATTAGTCCTGTCACTCGGCATGCTGCGACTAACGATGATTCTAGTAATAAAAGAGTATCTTTTGAAATACTAGTCAACAGTGGCTTAAGCCATTTATATCTAAAATAAATCATCAAATTTCCCAGAGAAGAAGTAGAAGAAGAAAAGGAGCAAACGACAAGAGAAAGTTGAAGAAGAAGAAAGAAAGTCCAATGCATCAAAAACCGCCAAAGGCGGGCTGCGGGGGCGGTTCCATATTCTTCAACGCTTCCCCTATCGCCTGAAATGTGGCAATCTGCCGCTCCTGCTCTTCCTGAGGCAAGGCAGCAAAAGCAGCTGTTTCTTTGTCCCACTTTTTCACACAGTCCACGTCCCAATTGCACTTCTCAACCTCCCCAAAGATGGGGTGATAGAATCGGGGGTGACGTTTTGGCCACTCGGAGGCATGGTAATGATGCTTGACCAACGCATTGCGCGAATAATGTGTGCCCGAGTCAGAATGACCTTGCCCAGCGGCGAACGCTTCGACCGTCAGGACCAGAAACCCTCCAACGACTTTGGACTGGGGAATATCATGGAACGTATGCCATGTCACGGTCTTGCTAGTGGTACGGCTCATTTCAGATAGGATGGCACCCGTAAAGGCAGAAGGCCCGGTGCCCGTGATCACATCATCGAAGTCCAGCTGAAGCTCTGAGATCGGCTTTCCTTGCTTGATGGAGAGCTCATTGAGCCAGTGGAGGATATTCTCGACTAGTCGCATCATCACGGGCTGTCGGGGCTTGCACATGAAGGTCCATTGACAGAAGGATTGCGATTTCTGACCCAATATAGGATGGTCGCTGAACTGTGGCTCATCAATTTCGACGCCTATAACCATGTCGATATCTCTTTCGTCATGAATGCTTGGGACAAATCGCTCGACTGGTCTCAATGCTTCCACGTCTATATCAGCATAGACACCTCCTTCCATGTACATCACAAGGTACCGAAGCAGGTCAGCCTTGATAATCGGCGCAGTCAAAGATCGATACGTTTCAACGATATCTGGTCGATTCTCCCCAAGAGGTCCGAAACTGGTTTCAACATATTCGAGGTCATTCTGGTCGGTCAGAACTTCGTACCGATAGCCCGGATTTTTCGCAGTCCAGCTGCGCGCAACTTCGATATCGCGTCCATCAAATTCCAATGGGTTCACTTTCCAAATCTGCCAGAGTTTCCGGGGAAATTTTTCACCAACATCGGCCGTCACATGGGTAGAGTATGGTCGAGTCTCCCTAAAGTCGTGTGATGTCCTGGTGACACAGAAGTAGATGAAAAGGAACAATGCCACCAGGCCGCCGTGCGTGAATCGACGTGCCCTCTTTGGAAAGAGACTGACCGGCACGAATTTCTTCTCCACCATGGCCGTGCTTGTGATAAGATCTAATTCACTGTTCTCTTGTCTGGGGGAAGCATAGAAAATGAAAAAAGGAGAAGATCGTGACTCCAGGAAATCATAGCCTTGTTTCACCGCCGTGTAGATTACATACAGTACATAGCTTTGTATTTATCATGTGGTTTCCACTAAATCTGAAATGTATTGCCTCGGGCTGCGTTAGTCCCTGACACCTTTGAAAGATTATGTCTAATTTGCTGGGCTGTCTTGTTGGTAACCCTGCGAGCGCATTTGTAGCCAATGGTACGGGAACCGTCGAAATTTCAAGATCCACTGGTTCATTCGGTGGCATCTGGTCGCTTTTAGTTAATCGGCCTAACCAATAGTAGGGAAATTGTGGGAGCAGTCAATCATGGCATTTTAGTGGAAAACGCCGTTCAGACTTCCGTAAATCTTATCCGCATGATATGGAACCCACTCAGTGCGACCCTAAACCTTGTCATTGCGGGGGCGAGATCGTGCAGGCACGGCTTCAGCCGCTCGGTCATGTCACTTGGGGGTCTGCGTTCAGACCCCGTGTGGAGGTAGGGAGGAGGATCCGCAAAGAACTGGCATAATCTATACGAAACGCAATCTAGCGGCAGCCTCGGCACCAGTGGGTAGTAGCACTAGCACTCAACCTACCCAGCGACCCGCTAAGGAGCACTAGTAGTCACTGTACGAGCCCCCACAATTCACGTGTTATCGAGTTACCAGGAGCTGTGTAATAATTCTCAAGCATTGAGACTTGGGGTTTTATTAATCGTCTTCGACCTTCCAAGGACTCTAGCAGCTTCAACTCTTACCCCCAATGCCCATCCTACACACGTCAACTGAAAGTTTCTCGCCTCAGTTGAACTTGGGCCCCGAACGAGTCATCGGTGGACAGTGGACACCACATTTAGCCCAGAGGACACACCCTCGACATGGAATGTCGTATTCTTCATGGATGGCTCCTTTCCTGCCCACTTTGTTCACTGGGCCGACAAATAACGATACAAATACGAATGAAAAGCAACGACAGCGTAGCAGGCCGACCGCATACCTAGATGGATTGCGAGGGTTTGCGGCTCTCCTGGTCTACTTGGGACATCATCAACTTTGGGCCCACGAAGGCGCAGGAGTGGGGAAGGCCTTCGAGCTAGCCTACGGTTACGACAACAAGTACTATTTCGCATGCCTTCCTGGTGTTCGAACGATCTTCGCGGGGGGGGGCATTTTGCGGTCAGCGTCTTCTTCGTGCTCTCTGGGTACGTTCTCTCAATGAAGCCACTGGGATGCATCCAGGATGGCGACTACGCTGAACTAGGTAAAAGTCTTTCCTCTGCGGTATTCCGCCGATGGTTTCGTCTCTATATACCTGTCATTTGCACAACATTTTGTTACATGACGTTTTTGCATTTGTTTAAAATTCGCACTATCCCAGAGCTTCAAGGAAGCTACCTTTCGGAGCTATGGAATTGGTACGCCGAATTCAAGAATTTCAGCTTCGCTCTGCGAACAGGCGGTGAGCCTTGGTTCACGTACAATTTCCATGCTTGGTCTATACCCGTCGAATATCGAGGTTCTCTGGCTGTTTACACCGCCGCGATCGCTTTTGCAAGGTTTCGCCGCAACGTCCGGCTAATCGGCGAGGTCGCATTGGTGGTATACTTTTTGTACATTGCGGATGGGGCGCACTTTGCCATGTTTATTGCTGGCATGCTTTTGAGAGATCTCGATCTCCTCGCCATGCGCAATAACTTGCCCGGCTTCTTTCGCAGACTGGAGCCCTTCAAGACAGCCATTATGACTTTACTCTTCTATACCAGCCTCTACCTTGGCGGGGTCCCATCGCATACGGATAACTTGCAACAACTACGTGACTCACCAGGGTGGTACCTCTTATCGTTTCTGAAGCCACAGGCAGTGTTCGACTACAAGTGGTTCTACCTGTTCTGGGCCGCTGTCTTCCTTGTCTCGTGCACATCTCACCTTCAGTGGCTCAAGACATTTTTTGCAGCCCCGTTCAACCAGTACTTGGGCCGTATTTCATTTGCCTTCTATTTAGCCCACGGACCGGTTCTGTGGATTTTGGGAGACAGGCTCTACGCTGCAGTGGGGTTGGTGCGCGATTCACATGCTCAAAATTGTCCCTGGTGGATTAATCGTTTGCCCCTGCCTACCTTTGGTCCTTTTGGGCTCGAGGTCAACTTTCTCGTCCCACAGCTGGTTTTGTTGCCATTGACCCTCTGGCTTGCAGAGGTCTCGACTAGACTAGTTGACGAGCCCACTGTGAGGCTCTCTCAGCGGATGTATTTAGAGGCGCTTGTCGATAAAATATGACAAATCTTCGCTTGTGTTTATGTCTACTTATTTGATTTTGAGCCTCTCACGCAAGGCCTACCCTGCATTGTGAATTGTTGTATAATAAAAGTCTAGCAATTCTTGGAGTCCCAAAGTCCGGACCTCAATCATGAAGACTTTGCTCTGAAAGTACGTACGCCATGTCCCTGCCAACACATCGCAGAATTTCCAACTTGAACGCGTGCACAAAGAAGACCAATGCGAATGATTGTTGCTCATTCTTAAAACTTTGCATTTTGTGCCTCACCCATCATCACATAGTTCAACGCCAAGCTACCGAGTACTGCCACACGCCCATGATTCTATAAATTGAGATGATCTCTGCCCTGCTCGAACCATCCAAGTCAATTGTGGCACCTCATTTTAAAAATGCCAGAGAAAACAGAGGAAAGTGACAACGAGCTCTTCAAGGTTCTATCAAGTTACGAAGACCTCAATATTGAAGAAACGGACGACGATTCCACTACAGAGGAAGACCTTTCGGAAACAAGTGAAGATTGCAGGTTTGTGGTATCAGGGAGCGATGATACCACTTATTCAGAAGAAGAGTCACTAGGATCCAGTCTTTCCTGCATACACCATACCATGGATGGTCACGAGACATCGAGCACTGTAAGTGTGTCCATAGGATTTCTTTGGGCTATCGAGCTAAATAGAGCAACCAGGTCGGCAACGGCAAAAAGATACCAATTAGCGCCATTGCCTCTCGCTTGATCTCCGAAGATGGAATTTCAGTGATACAGTATTTGGTCTTGTGGCAATCGTGGGAGCGAGAGATGCCGCATGAGTATGACCTGAGCGAGGATGTGTCTTCTTCGCCAAGGTCATGTATCTAATACGAGGAAGCCTTGGTTCCTTTCTCAATTTTCAATATCAAATTACTATCTCCAGTTTTCTATGCAATCTCGGACTGAACACTCAAATCCAATTAGTTTCATCTCAGTGGATAGTAAGTCGGTCTGTCTCGCGTTTCCTTCGGAGCAGAATACTAATGGATAAAGTACCTCGCTTAAAACTTTAAAGCTCAGCTATAACTCCCCCGGGGCTCAACTTCTTTAAATCTAAATCCATATTTTTCTTTGTCCCCAAAGTCTATTATCTCTGGCACTACGATAATAACAAGGAGACCGCAGCAGTTCTGTCCAGGGACTTTATTTTTGACATAAGAAAGTTTCATCAAAAATATTTCGATATATTTTGGATACAAAGTCCGTACGTACACGAATATTGTAAGTCCCAGAAAAGCCATATTAGGGAGAACTGTTTAAGTTCGGTCCATGATTATAAACCTATATATCCACATATCTAGCTCTATTACACAACTAAGAAATTTTAAATCAAGAAGATCTCTATCAAAAGTATTCTAGCTTCATCGATCTGAAAGAAGTTAATATAACTTTCCGTATCTTTACGCAGAAAAGAGTAAATTCTGTTGGGCAGGAAATAGCCCTCACTAGATAAAGTAGCGTATTTTGTTTTCCTGATTATCTAAATATCTATTGAAAGATGGGAATGCTCGCTGGCTGTCTGTCAAGCAGACGGGTCGATCACAAGGGGACAAAACCACCACACTCGCAGAGTGCAGGAGAGTAGTAGATGGAGCGTGACGCTATAGAGGAACAATCGAACGAATGACAGAACCTCTCATAGGCAGTATATCGATACCGCAACCTCAGCAGCCTCAGTAGGACATCTCGAAGGGGGAACATGCATGTTGATATTGATACTAGGGAACAAACGCTACTTATTTCCTCGAAACTAAATGGCAGCCTTGTTGCTAAGGCCCCAGTCACCTGACTCCGATGTTGAGATCGAAATCCCCACTACATCATTTAGAAATTACTATTTGACTAGATTAATCAGAATACCTTTATAAGTTTATAAATAAGGAGGGTTTTACTAATAAGAAACTCTTATTAAAAAGCTTACTACTAATACTATCTAGTATACTAGTCTTAAATCTCTATATAAAAAAAAAAGAAGAGTCTAATACTAAGGAGTTTACTAATACTATATTAAGTTAAAATAAAGCCTTATACTATATATCTTTAGTCAGTAAGCTTAGTTAGATAGAGATAAAGACCTACCCTAATATCACTTACACTATAGAGTATTTTCGTTAAGCTATATTACGATTAACTAAGTAAAAAAGACACTAATTAGGTATATAATATAGTATATACTAATAAAACCTAAGATAGAACTAATCTTTTAATATATCCTTAAGAAATAGTATTAAGGTCTTATCAGTTTCGTCGACTTATCCTACAGAAATAGAACTTATAGTTACTCTATCAGTAGATATATCTACTTCTTCAATAGAATACCTATATCACAGGATTCGAAGTATACAGTACCCCAGACGTTCGATGTCGATCCGCACTCGAATCCCCTTCGAGCTACCTATATATCGAGGCCTACCCGAACCCTAATATATTTAAGATCCTATAAGTATTCAGGATTCTTGATCTTGTCAAGAATCAGTCTGTATATTAACTGTCTAATCTAATCTCTACTGTCCGATATCCTTATCTAGTTATAGGTCTCTAGCCTAACAACTTAGTAACTATTACAATTCTAATTCTTCTTTATTAACTACCTAAGGATTGAAGATAGTGCCTTCTATATATCAGAACCCTATATCCTCTTGTAGCAGTACTTAACCTGAGATTACTACAATCTCCCTACCCCTATAAACTACTACTAAATCAATTATAGATCAGTCAGAGATCCTTATTAAACTAGAGCCAGAACTAGTATTAATCTAAGACTCTATCCTATATAAGATCAACGTACAGCCTTCCCTACCCTATAGGATATAAATCTAAGGAATTACTAATAATACTATACTAAGAACTATTATTAGCCTTAGAGAGACTAAATTAGAAGAGAAAAGATAGGAGATAAAGTATCTTAAGGAGTTTCTTATAATCTAGAACTGTATTAAAAAGCTCTCTACTTAAATCTCTGGAAATAGTAATACTAGGGTCTTTTTAGATAATCTAACTACAAACTATAGAGGATCTAATACTAAGATATATAAGAAAATAGAAGGTTTTAAGGTTAATTAGTTTAAAAGATCTTTTAGTCTTTAAGAGTAAGATAACTAACTCTCTTAGTTTAGATATATCTTCTAAGGTAATTCTAGAGTCTATAAAGATAAGGAGATAAAGATTCTTATAGAAGTTAAGTATCTTAACTCTAATTATAAGTATAATTAGACTATAGAAGAGAGATACTTTAAAGATAATAATAATAATTATCTTAGTAGCTAGGAATACTTTAAGGAATAGATACTTATCTTAATATATAATAAAAATACCTTTACTAGGGAAGTAAGTAATAAAATAGAGTGTTATTACTAGTAAATCAATAAAGAACTAAAGATATTTTACTACTATCTTACTAATCTAGAGTATTATCTCCCTATAGTATCTAGAGATAAATAAGCTTACTGATATATATCTAAACTATAGCTATAGTTAATACTATATATCTAGTAATATATAAAGACTTTCCTAGAAACTAAAGCTAAATAGATAGAAGAAGTATAGACTACTTAGAAATTTATAAAAGCTAAGGTATAGAAGTATAGTCTATTTAATAATAATTTTAACTTAAGTTTAAAGTATCTATATCTTAATAACTTACTCTTTTACTAGTCTAATAGTAGAAAGTAAGATTAGAAGGACTATAATCCTAGGAATTTAAGAGATAGCTCTCTTTAGAAATTAAATATAAATCTAAATAATCTAAATTAAAATAATTCTAATCTAAATATTAATCTAAGTATAAATTCCCCTTATTTTAGTAGCTAGTCTTATCTATTTTCTCTCTAAAATAGTAGTAATCTAAATTATATATCTATAGGAGAAACTAATCTATCTAATCTAATTATTAAAATCTCTTTAAATACTTACTTTAATTATAGTAAGTTAAATTACTAAGTATATAAATATTATCTACTACTAAGAAACCTAGGAACTAGGATCTAGAATATGAATATTATACTATAAAACCCTATAACAAAATACGCCAAAGCTCCGGCTATAACAACCGATAGATGACACCTAAGTGGCACCCGTGCCGACAGCTAAGCAGCACCCATGCCGATGGCCGAGCAGCACCTATACCGATGGCCGAGCGGCACCTATGAATATTACAAATATTACCGTTGCCTAGGCTATACAAGCCTTAGAGAGCGGATGTAACTATGCCAGTGCCCCGAGTGCAACTATGCCGGTGCCCCGGGGGTTACTGTGCCAGTGCTCTGGGGGTTACCGTGCCAGTGCCCCGGGTGTAACTATGCCAGTGCCCCGGGTGTAACTATGCCGGTGCCCCAGGGGTTACTGTGCCAGTGGCCCGGGTGTAACTATGCCGGTGCCCCGGGTGTAACTATGCCGGTGCCCCGGGGGTTACTGTGCCAGTGCTCCGGGTGTAACTATGCTAGTGCCCCGGATGTAACTATGCCGGTGCTACTGCTACCATACTTAGCAATATTGCCTAAGCCAGCTAAATATATATATAACCTTCTCCCCCCATACACAACACAGAACAAGACAATCAAGACAATCAAGACAATCAAGACAAGCAAGACAATCAATACAATATCAGCAAACATTGCAAACACCAATCTTCTTTATCAAACAAGCTAAACACCTTCTTCTTCTTCATCCAACCTTCCCTAAGCCTATTGAGACATACAAAGTCTCAGAGGTTATGAGCCCGGATTGCTTTATATCTGGCTTATACTACCACCACTTCTTTATCTTCTTTCATCTGATCTTTTAGGGTTTAGAAACCCTAAACCCTAAAACCCTAAACCCTAGGGTTATATCAAAAATATCAAAAACATCAAAAATATCGAAAATATCGAAAAATGTCAAATCTTCCAAAAATTGAGGTGCCTAAGCTCTTAGGTATTGAAAACTATACTACATGGTCAATTAGGGCTTATGCCTTATTGATTAAGGAAGATCTAGGGTTTGATACCCTAGACCCTGATGGGACAATATCAGATGAAACCAATATCACCCCTGCTAAGAACAGGAAGGCACTAGCTATTATTAAGCTACTATGTGATGATAATCCTCTATTATATATAAAGGATGAAACTAGTGCTATTCAGGCATGGAATACCCTAAAGGAGTTATTCAACCCTAAAGGTTTTACCACTGAATTCCTGGTGTTAAAAGAATTCTTTAATACCACTTTGGGTGATTTTGATACTATGGAGCAATACCTTAATAAGGTAAAATTGCTTATCAATGACCTTAAATCTAAGGATATTATACTACCTAATCAGGTAGTTATTGCCTGGATTTTAAATAGTTTGGATGAAGACTATTCAGGCTTCATACAAAATATTACACAATCTCTACGCAATGATCCTAAGGCATATACTATTGATTCATTGATTAAATCACTTATTGATGAATCACGTGGCAAAGATGATAATGCTATTTATAGTATTAATAACTCTTTCTACAAACAAAACAACAAAAACAACAAAATAAGCAAAAATAACAAACAAAACAAACAAAACAAAAAACCATGGAAGAAACAACCTTTGAGTGGAAAATTTTGCAAAAATTGTCATAAAACCAATCATAATGTCGATGATTGCTACTTCTTATATCCTAAGAAGCGTCCTGATTGGTGGAAATCAAATGATACAGACGATACAGACGATACAAACAATACAAACAATATAAATCAAACAAACAAAAAACAGCAAAAACAACAAGATATTGCTATTGTTAATGCTATTCTCTCTGATTCAGATGACCTTGACACTATACCTATTCAGGATATTGATATGGAAATCGATAATCTCCTATTGGACCTGGACAATGATGTGAGTGTCAATAATACCCCAAAAAAATGATAAAAATAATAAAAAGCTTACAAATAATAAAGGTTATCTAGGCAAATTGCCCTATCAGATTGGACCTATTTGTAACTTTGTTATTGATACTGCTGCTACTATCTCAGTTATTACAAATTTAAACTATTTTTGTTATAAAAGAGAAGTAAATGAAACAGTAAACTGGGGAAAAGCACTCAAAATACCAATAAAATATAAAGGAACAGTTATAATTCAAACAAATCTGAATTATATATATATTATGCATAATGTGCTATATATGCCTGAATTAGGTATTAATATACTAAGCACTAATAGGCTAAAAGGCCTATCTATTTTCAAGGAAAATAGTGTATATATATATAATAATAAAAAACCAACAATAAAAGGTTATAAAGATATACTATATAAAACTAATACTAATATACTATATCCTAGAAAGATATCTGATAATAAATATCAAAATAAGCTTCTATATCTAGAAGATAAAGATATAGAGATAAATAATTGGCATAAAAGACTTGGTCATATTGGACCTAAGGCCCTAAATCATATATTAAAAGATATTATTAATATAAATATATCTGACAAAAACCTATATAATATAATAAAAGAATGTGAGATCTGCCTAAAGTCTAAGGCAAAAAGATATATAAATAAAAAGTCAAATAACAATATTCTCTATGAAAAAGGAGAAAGAATTCATAGTGATATAGGTGGCCCAATAACACCAAAGACATATAATAATTATATATATTATATAACCTTTTTAGATAAGCAGACACGCTATCTATTTGTTATATTATTAAAGAATAAAAGCCAAGCAATAATAGCCTTTAAAAAGGTAAAGGCTTTAATAAATAATCAAATTGGTATTAATATAAAACAATTATTCACCGATAATGGTAGAGAATATGTTAATAAACCAATGAGAAATATAACCAATAAATATGGTATTACCCATAATACTAGTCCTGCCTATACAAAAGAGCCTAATGGCTTAATAGAACGTATAAATCTTACTTTATTAAATAAAGTAAGGACAATGCTATCTAATAGTAATTGTCCTAAATACCTATGGGGTGAGGCTTTAATAGCAGCTACCTATTTATATAATAGGACACCACATAGTGCTCTAGGGTTTAAAACACCCTATGAATTATATAATAAAAGAAAACCCCCTAATAATATCTATAACCAATTAAAGATATGGGGTTCTACTGCCTATTATACTATTAATAAGCAGATTATAAAGCTAGAACCTAGGCAAGAAAAAGCTATACTAGTAGGCTATACTGATTATGGCCACTATAAACTATATCTACCTAATAAAAGGACTACTATAATAACAAGAGATATAACAATCCTTGAAAATAAATACTATAATTTTAATAGTATCAAAGAAGATACTATAGATATATATCCTGATAATAATTCGGATGAAAGGGTTACCCAGAAAACCCTAAACCCTAAAATACATGGGATGAATACAAGAGCAAAAGAATATGCCAAAATTTCAGAAAATCCTTCTCATAAGATTGAAGTCCAAATACCAGTGAAAAATACTATATATAATAATAATAATAAAAATAATAATAATAATATACTATATACACTATCTGATACAGCAGTAGAAGCTATATATAGACCTCTATATAGTAGTGTATTAAACTTTGTTTTAACTACAACTACTACTAAGGAGCCTAATACACTAAAGCAGGCCCTAGAAGGCCCTGATAGCCTATACTGGCAAAAAGCCTGTATAGCAGAAAATAATGCATTAGTCAGCCAAAAGACATGGGATATTGTTGATATCCCTAATAATACTATACCTATTAATGGCCGGTGGATTTTCAAGATGAAACCCACTATAAACAGAACAGCCAATAATACTAGTCATATTACTAATAGTGATAATACTATTCGCTATAAGGCTAGATGGGTTATACAAGGTTTTAACCAAAAACTAGGAATAGACTTCCTAGAAACCTTTTCAACAACATGCAGAACAGAGTCATGGCATATGCTATTATTAATAGCTGTTAATAAAGGCCTATGTATATGGCAATATGATGTAAAAAATGCATTCTGTCATGCTGATATTGATGCTGAGATATATACTATATTACCAATAGGTCTATATAACCAAGATATATATCAAAATAAATGTGCAAAACTAAATAAAGCACTATATGGATTAAAACAATCTCCTAGACTATGGTATCAATACCTAAAATCAGTACTGGAAGTGCTAGATTTTGAGGTATTTCCATATGATGAAGGAATATATATAAATAAAAAAGATGGTTGCATACTAATATGTCATGTTGATGATATACTAGTATTACATAAAGACCTATCCTATATCAAAGCCCTAAAAGATAAAATAAATATATCTATTGAATTAGATGAAATAGGGCAAATTACTACCTTCCTAGGTAATGATATAACTATTGACTATAAAGCAAAAAAGCTATATATATCTCAAATAAAATATATAGATAAATTATTAACTAAATTTAATATATATAATAATAATACCTATAAAAATAAGGATATACCTGGTGAACCAGGCATAAAACTATCTAAAAATATTACTATAGCTAGTAACACAGATATAAAACAATACCAAAAGGAAATAGGCTCTTTATTATATTTAGCCTTAAAAACAAGGCCAGATATAGCCTTTTCTGTGTCAAATTGTGCTAGGTTTATGTCAAATCCTAGCCAAGAACACTTCAAAGCTATATACTATATATGGTGCTATATACTAAAATATAATAATCAAGGTCTAATATATAATTGCTCTGGTAATAACCTATATATAAAAGGTTATTGTGATAGTGATTGGGCAAATGATATTAATAATAGAAGGTCTACTACTGGCTATATATTTAGCCTAAGTAATGACCTAGGCCTGACAAATCCAATATCTTGGAATAGCCAGCTACAAAAGACAGTAGCCTTATCTAGCTGTGAAGCTGAATATATGGCACTAAAAGAAGCTACAAAAGAAGCTATATATCTAAATAATATGCTTAATTATATTAATAATCACCTAGAACTAGGTTATACTGATACAATACCTATAATATTAATAGATAATGAGGGAGCAAAAAAGCTTGCCGAAAACCCTGAATTTCATAAAAGATCAAAACATATTGATATCATATATCATTTTACTAGGAATGCTATACAAAAGAATCAAATGAAACTAGTACCAATACCATCAAAAGATAATATTGCTGATATATTCACTAAAAATGTGATAAAACCTATATTTATAAATCATATACCTAATATAATAACTAATATTCAGAGCTAATCTCTATATAAGAAGATATATATAAAGATTAAGGGGGAATATGAATATTATACTATAAAACCCTATAACAAAATACGCCAAAGCTCCGGCTATAACAACCGATAGATGACACCTAAGTGGCACCCGTGCCGACAGCTAAGCAGCACCCATGCCGATGGCCGAGCAGCACCTATACCGATGGCCGAGCGGCACCTATGAATATTACAAATATTACCGTTGCCTAGGCTATACAAGCCTTAGAGAGCGGATGTAACTATGCCAGTGCCCCGAGTGCAACTATGCCGGTGCCCCGGGGGTTACTGTGCCAGTGCTCTGGGGGTTACCGTGCCAGTGCCCCGGGTGTAACTATGCCAGTGCCCCGGGTGTAACTATGCCGGTGCCCCAGGGGTTACTGTGCCAGTGGCCCGGGTGTAACTATGCCGGTGCCCCGGGTGTAACTATGCCGGTGCCCCGGGGGTTACTGTGCCAGTGCTCCGGGTGTAACTATGCTAGTGCCCCGGATGTAACTATGCCGGTGCTACTGCTACCATACTTAGCAATATTGCCTAAGCCAGCTAAATATATATATAACCTTCTCCCCCCATACACAACACAGAACAAGACAATCAAGACAATCAAGACAATCAAGACAAGCAAGACAATCAATACAATATCAGCAAACATTGCAAACACCAATCTTCTTTATCAAACAAGCTAAACACCTTCTTCTTCTTCATCCAACCTTCCCTAAGCCTATTGAGACATACAAAGTCTCAGATAGAAAGTCTACTTAAGACTCTAGTATTATTATAATAATACTTAATTAAAAGACTTAGGAAAAGGATAAAAGTTAAACTAGTTTCTATAAATTCTAACTTTTAGTCTTAAGTAGAAATAGTTACCTACTTCTATATTCTAATCTATATTTAAAATAATATCAAAATATATATAAATATTAATACCTATATAGAGGTAGATTTTATTAGTTATAAATTTATTTAGAAATATTACTTTAATTAAACTAAGTATAGTACTTCTTTTTTAGAAGTAATAGACTAATAAGATACTCCTATCTATAGTATATAGACTATTCTAATTACTATATATAACTCTAGAGAGATAAGATAAGAGTTTTTATATTTCTATATTATAATTAATAGAAATCCTTATCTCTCTAGATCCCTAATATTATTATTAAATATAACTATCTAAGAGATATAAATTATATTAGTACTATAGTAGAGATAATAGTAGTTTAAATATAAAAGGAAGATAATAGAATAGTTAAAACCTTACTAGTTTATAAAAGTATATAGAAACTAAGTCTATATCTTTATAATTATTAAAGTACCTAAAGAAGTTTAGCTTTCCCTAGAAGATAAAGGGAAATTAGTTAAGAATTAAGAGTAAATCCTCTCTAAATTAATAGTATTTTAGGATATATTTAAAGTTGAAAATTCTAAGATTATACTACTATAAAAGGAGACTAATTATTTAATTAAACTTAAAGAAGATATATTACCTCTATATAGACTTCGGCAATGGGTCCAAATGGGTCCAACTTTTGGACCCATACCCAACCCATGATGGGTTATGGGTTTTTTCAAAATGGTGCACCCATCCCGATGGGTACCCATGGGTTTTTCATGGGTACCCATATGGGTACAAAAAACCCATATTGTGCATAAATTTGAGGCTTGGCATGGATAATTCAGCT